AAAGGCAGCATCCCGGCAACGCCTCCCACATGAAACCGTTCCCCATCTGTGCATTTTAAAGGATGCGACAGAAATTTGTCCCTCCCCCCCCGCCCCCGCCCCCCCATCAATTTGTGCTGCCGGCGCGTGTAGCCTAGGAGGTCGGATTACCGGGATGCTCGAGTGGCAGACAGAACTCACCGATTCAAAGCATGGCCTCATCAGCTCCATTTCTGCTGGCCACGGAGAACGGCACCCCTTCCCAAAAGTCTCTGTGAGAGGGGGGACAGTCTGCGCTTTCCCTCGCTTTTTTCTCACCCTCTTTCCCTCCCTCTCTGTCTTGCTCATTCTCCGTCCCTAAGCTTCTGGGTAGGCATCCCACCGTTGCCAGGGAAACTTGATTCCCCTCTAGAGAACACAATAGCACAGTGACTCTGAGGTCTCGCACACACAATGAACCCCTCCTACAAGGTGACAGCAAGGCTTTTGCTCCAGCTGCCGTGCCCCTCTCCTGTCGATGAAAATATATCTCCAGCCCTCTATTTGAGTCCGTAATAAATAGTCAAAACAGAATTCGCGAAACGCCATAAGAAATGTAATACGAGCTATCTGGGCCTACTGGACATGCTAATGTTTACGCTACACCTATTTTCAGTTACAAAGAATAATAAGCATTGAAGTATGTTTTGATTTTTTTGTATTAGCATTGAACCGGTTTTAGCGAAACGTCCACGATTCAAAATGAGAGCATCGCTAAAGTATGCTAACAGCGCCACGTTGCAAAGTCAGCCCCCTCGGGGTATAAGCCAGTGTTTGTGACGGAAAGGAAGAATGCAGACTGACAAAGACGAATGGGAGACACCCGGGAGACAGCTAATGGAAATAAATACAGCGAAATTACCCAACGTCCATTATTAACAATGGCGGCACGACGGTTCAAAAACGAAGCCGATGGCAAGGGAAGTTCTATTCATTTTAAAATTTGGCCCGGATTCAGAGCCACGGTCAGCGGTTTGCAAAAACATTACATGATTTAACGGCTGGAAAATTATCATTTAATGCCTTTTTTCTGCAATGTCCAATTTATACTGGGCTACATGGAAATTGGCAAGAGCACGAAAATGGGTTCTTGACATGTTTTCGGGAGGAGTGCGGCCATCAGAAAAAGTTTTTAAATCCGCAAATTGTTCATGAAGTAATCAGACTGAAGGCCTGCATGTGGTCACCTCTCAGGGCCTGTTCCGATCCTTCATATTTTAGAATAAGATTAAAAACATGCAAGACATTCAAGTAACGACTCCAGCCACAGCTATGATCATTCTCAGGTTAATGCTTAGGGGCATGATGGTGATTTTCATGGGGAACAGTGCCGGGGGG